CTCTACTGCCTTCTTAGTCCAAGCCTCAGGAATCTCTCGTCTGGACTATTGCAAATCTTCTTCTGACTAGCCTCCCTGCTTTGATTCTTGCACACGTGTAATCCTTTCTCCATACAGTAACCAAAATATTTTTTTAAATGCAAATCATATTTTGTCAGTCCTCTGCCTAAAACCCTTCCATTGCTTAGAATGAAACGCAGATGTCTCAATTACCTACATGTTCTTAAGGACTTACTTGCTGTAGCTTCTTTCAGCATCTCTGATTTTGTCTCCTCCTACTCTCTTCCCATCCTACTCTTATCAGTGTCTAGCCACATTGGGCCATAATTCTGTTGCTTGAACAGGGTAAACTCATTCCTATCTCAAAACCGGTCTAAGTTTAACTGGTACATAAACTCCATGGACTAGGGGTGTTGATTAGTTAACCTGTTGCAGCCCAAAAGATAGCCCCATGTCATTCTTTACTCTCTGCTGCTTTCGTAAGGTTATTTAAAGAATCACAGGCCATTCCAGAAACTAGTTTTTAAGAATACTGTTTTGTTGTTGTTGTTGTCTTTAAGAATACTGAAGCCAAAATGGATTATCCCGGCTCCTAGGAGGACCTCTAACCCAACATTCTCTAAATGAATCACTGAAACAGCAAAGAGTGTTAGAAATTTTGTCTGTAATGATTGTTGGTATTCAGTTAAACTTTGTACTTTTGTGTATATATGATAATATAACACATTAATACAGTATATGTGTGTAATTTATAAATATATACAGTATATGTGTCAAACATTTTTCGATATGTTGACTAATTTTAAAAACCCTAGATTAAATAATGCTAAAAAGACCACTGGATTAAACAATGCTAATGAAATTAAAGCATGTCACTTTTTAATAATGTTGATAGGACAGGGTTTTCCTGTTTTCCATGAGTAGTGATGTCAAAGCAAAAACAACATTAAAAAGCAAAAGGGGAAATATGAGAAATAAAGACTAGGTATCTTATTCTTTAAGCCAAATTGACTCTCCTGGAAACATTATTCTTCCAAGTATCTATTCAATGTAAGTTATGTACCTAGTGGAATCATAAACATTTGGATTCCTAGCTGAGAAAACTTTGATTATAGTATATTGGATCTTAACCACAATCCAGAAACATTAAAGACAACTCAGTTTACCTATCTGTCTATTTATTTAATATATTTTATCTTTGTCTTTTCTTTTTACTCACCAGCATATTAACAAGGAAATTAACGTATGGTAGACAATGGGAACTGACTGTAAAGAGGTACAAATATCCAACCTTAGGAATCTGTAGTGAGTTTTATGTCCAATTAGCAGTACTACCTATTAGAAGTAGAGATTTATAACTTTTTCTTGGAGAAAGTTGATATTATAGAGGGAAGGAAGTACTCATTAATTTTTTAAAAGGTAATTTGGTCACATCAAGATGAATGATTAGAGAACAGGAACCCCAGTAGTCAAGTTTTTTATAGGTCTTTTTAACCTTGGCTGAGCTCCAAGAAATAGACGACGAGTTCAAACTGGCATGCTTTCATTTATGGATATGGAAATAGCCCTCATTGGTAAACCAGTGCCTAAGAAGGAAGCCTAAAATTTTTGTGAATTAGATCATGGTTTTACTCAGCATTAGAGAAGAAGCTGAGGGCTAGAGGGCCGGGCATGGTGGCTCACACCTGTAATCCCAGCACTTGGGAGGCTGAGGTGGGCAGATCACTTGAGGTCAGGAGTTTGACCAGCCTGGCCAACATGGTGAAACCCTTTCTCTACTAAAAATACAAAAATTAGCTGGGTTTGCTGGCAGGCACCTATAATCCCAGCTACTTGGGAGGCTGAGGCAAGAGAATCACTTGAACCCTGGAGGCAGAGGTTGCAGTGAGCCGAGATTGCACTACTATACTCTAGCCTGGGCAACAGAGCAAGACTCGGAAAAAAAGTTGAGGGCCAGAGCCCTCCCCATTTTTTTTTTAACAGCAGTTCTTTTTTTGATCTTGACTATTTCCTCTGTGTGATTTTGGTCACTTTAACTATGCAATGTCCCTCCTCTGATTACTTGTGACACTTTGCTTGAAACATTCGTTTGGCATTTACCATGTCATTTTCTTTGTGTGTGTGAGCTTGTGTATATGTATATCCATCTTACTCCTCCTGTAAGATGATAAATTCCTTAAATCAGCATGCTGTCTTCCATTACTTTATATGCAACTGTGGCACTGCAGGCCTAGCAGGCAGGTAGTACAGTAGGGAGAGGACCTAGAGCAGAGTTTCTCAGCTTCCTTGCTATTGACTTTTTGGGCAGATGATTCTTTGTTTTAAGGGGCTATTTTGTACCTCGTAGGATGTTTAGCAGCCTTCTGGCTTCTACTTACTAGATGCCTGTGTTTCCTCCCCACTTGTTCTGACAACCAAAAATTTCCCTAGATGTTGCCAAATGTCTCTTGGGGTGCAAAATTATCCTCAGTTGAGACTGGGAAATTTAGGTGATAGTCCTAGCTTTGCCATGATCTCACCATATTTGGTCAAACTGATTCACCTATATTCCTCTCCTAACAAGTGAGAAGCACTAGAATTTATTGGGTTTTGTGGATAGCTTTAGGGAAACTTTAATCCCTTGAAAATGTATGTGAGTTTTCTGTGTACATTTTTCTAGGAATAACATTCTTAGCTTTCAACATTTTCTCAAGCTTATCTATGACTCTAAAAAGATTAAACCTCAGCCAGGCTCAGTGGTTCACGCCTGTAATCCCAGCACCTTGGAAAGCCAAGGCAGGAGGATCGCTTGAGGTTGGGAGTTCAAGAGCAGCCTAGGCAACATGGTGAAACCTCATCTCTACAAAAAATACAAAAATTAGCTGGGTGTGGCTGCCTGTGCCTGTAATCCCAGCTACTCGGGAGGCTGAGGCAGAGGAATCACTTGAACGAAGGAGATGGAGGTTGCAGTGAGCCAAGATCATGCCACTGCACTCCAGCCTGGGCAACAGACCCAGACTCCATCTTAAAAAAATAAAGAAAAAAGATTAAACCTCAATCACTTATTACATAAAGTTTTGTATCTTTTACGATTTAAAGCCCTGAACTTAGGATCAGTATACATTTTTTTTTTTCTGTGAACATGTGACTATAAATGCTGAGAAAGCACTTTGTGCTACCAGGATTTGTTATATTATCAGGTACCACTTATTTACACTACCGTATCTCCTACCCCTTTTTTAAAAATTGGATCTTGAGTTAGTGATGATAAAGTAAATGACTAGAGTTACCTGCATGTACATTAGGGAGACTGGATAATGAAAAGAGGATGTTTATCATTTTGCACTCTACAGCCTTTTTTTTTTTGAGACAGGGTTTCACTTCTGTTGCCCAGGCTGGAGTGTAGTGGTGCGATCTCGGCTCACTACAACCTCCGCCTCCGGGCTTCAAGCGATTCTCCTGCCTCAGCCACCCAAGTAGCTGGGATTACAGGCATGTGCCAGCACCCCCAGCAACTGTTTGTATTTTTAGTAGAAATGGGGTTTCGCCATGTTGGCCAAGCGGATCTCAAACTCCTGACCTCAAGTGATCCACCCACCTCGGCTTCCCAAAGTCCTCGGATTACAGATGTGAACCACTGTGACCCGGCCTCCTTAGCCTTTTAAAATCGGCATGTTCTTTTGCTGTGCAGAAGCTCTGGAGTTTAATTAGATCCCATTTGCAAAAGAAATCATCATTAGAGTGAACCAGCAACCAACAGAATGGGAAAATTTTTTTGCAGTCTACCCATCTGACAAAGGGCTAATACCCAGAATCTACAAAGAACTAAAACAGATTTACAAGAAAAAAAACAAACAAACCCATCCAAAAGTGGGAGAAGGATATGAACAGACACTTTTCAAAAGAAGACATATATGAGGCTAACAAACATATGAAAAAATGGTCATCATCACTGGTCATTAGAGAAATGCAAATCAAAACCACATTGAGATACCATCTCACTCCAGTTAGAATGGTGATCATTAAAAAATCTGGAGACAGCAGATGCTGGAGAGGATGTGGAGAAATAGGAACACTTTTACACTGTTGGTGGAATGTAAATTAGTTCAACCATTGTGGAAGACAATGTGGAGATTCCTCAAGGACCTAGAAATAGAAATTCCATTTGACCAGCAATCCCATTACTGGGTATACATCCAAAGGATTATAAATCATTCTATTATAAAGACACATGCAAACGTATATTCATTGTGGCACTGTTCACAATAGCAAAGACCTGGAACCAACCCAAATGCCCATCAATGATACACTGGACAGGGAAAATGTGGCACATATATACCATGGAATGCCATGCAGCCATAAAAAACTATGAGTTTGTGTCCTTTGTGGGGACATGGATGGACCTAGAAACCATCATTCTCAGCAAACTGACACAAGAATAGAAAATCAAACACCGCATGTTCTCACCCATAGGCGGGTGTTGAACAATGAGAACACATGGACACAGGGAGGGGAGCATCACACACTCAGGTCTGTTGAGGGGGACAGGGGAGAGACAGCGGGGGTTAGGGAGTTGGGGAGGGATAACATGGGGAGAAATGCGAGATATAGGTGACGGGGATGGAGGCAGGAAACCACATTGCCGTGCAAGAATCCTGCATGTTCTTCACATGTACCCCAGAACCGAAAGTGCAATAAAAAAAAAAAAAATATATATATATATATATATAAAATCGGCATGTTCCGTATGACTGCCACTGTATGCCCCAGAGCTTCCCTGTGTCGGCTGGTCACTGATTATGGCTTTTGGGGTTCTCAGTAACCTTTGTTTAGGCTGCTGCTTCACAAAGTCCATTGCATTTGTTACTGTAGGCTTATCTGTAAATGTAAACCAAAACCTGGTCAGATGCTCCCTTTGGGGAGTTAAGGATATGCCTCTTAGACTTTTTTTGTCACAGTTATATGTTGTGCTCGCTGCTGTGCTAAGGTGTGAACCACAACCCTGTCTTCTTCTGTTGCAGGTAAATTTGGAAGGCAAAGCCAGCCCTCTGTCACTTCTACAAATGGCTTCCCCAAGTGGCCTGTGTGTCTTGATTCGCTTGCCCAAGCTAATCTGTGGAGGAAAAACGCTACCAAGAACGTTACTGAATATTTTGGCAGATGGCACCGTTTTGAAGGTTGGAGTGGGATGCTCAGAAGATGCCAGCAAGCTTCTGCAGGATTATGGCCTCGTTGTTAGGGGGTGCCTGGACCTCCGATACCTTGCCATGTGGCAGAGGTGTGGTTTGTATGAATGCTGGGATTCCTGTAGCTGCGGGACAAATATTTTAGCAAGATTTATAGATGCCTGGGAATCAATAGTGAAACGTGTGAAATTGTATTGGAGCCTAGAGACTTCTGAGATGCATATTGAATTTGTGAAGAGACATTCCAACTTCTGTGAAACTTTAGTTAACTAGAATTGGTCTTTTTAGATGAAACACTAATGAGGGATCTCCGTAAACTACAGGCTAAAAGCTGGTGGTCCCACTGGCTAAATTATGACTGCAAAGGTTTTTTGTTTTTCTTTTTTCCTGAAAGATATTATAGGAAATTTTTACTTAAGAAGATTAAATGTAAAAATCTGTATTTCTGGCTTCTCTTGAAAAATTAGGTGATCTGAGTACACTGAGTCTCTATAGTTCTAGATGGCAGCATTTGGCTGGGTAGCATTTGTGCCCTTTAGATGAACATACTCTGTTCAGTTTGCCAGAGTCCTTTTCACTACCATTGTAACCCTGGCTCCTCCTGATAAGCCTCTGAGTTTGTATACCTTGCTTTAGGACAAAAATGATGGTAGACCAGTCCTTATCTGGGAGTAAGAGAGATTTCCTTTTCCTTTAGAATTTTATTCCTGTGGAAATTTGATTTCAGCTTGGCTTTTAGGGGCGGGGCCTCATAATTACCTCCTCATGTTTATGTACAGATCCTCGCTTAAAACAACATGGACTGAAACAGCCTCTTACCTTGCCTGAAGTGACAGTCACTAAAAGGTTGGAGATTTGGTAAACTAAGAGAAGTCCAGATTAAAATCTTTGTTTATCACAGTTCCCCGCTCCCCACCCCGCCACCCCCGACCTGTATCCTGAATATCACAGTTTTTTAGTATAAAATGAAATTTTATTTTAGTTTGTTAGTTTGGCTTATATAAAGCTCTTATAAGTGAAGTATAATTTTTAAAGTAATACATTAAGATATTGCTATAAAAATTAAAACTGTGAAAGTCTACAGAGTATAACAGTAGAAGCCTCCCTTCATCAGCTTCCTTTGGCACCAGCTCCCCAGAGGTACCGCTGTCACTGTGTGCTGTTAGAGGCAGTGTGGATAGAGGCTAAAAGTTGTCCTGGGAGCAGGCTGCATGGGTAGGAGTCCCAGCGAGTGCTGCCACTTTCCAACTGTATGACTTTTGGCACAAAACTAAGCCTCTCTGTTCCCCAGTTTCCTCATCCATAGAGATTATAATGTGGCCACCTCATAGGGTTGGTGTGAGTATTAAATGAATTAAACTATAAATAGTCTTTCACAAATAGATAACAGATTGTCATTTTCTTTGATGTCTAGTGAGAATTAGTATCTGTTATCTGTTTATTGGCTATTTATATGCCTTTTTAAAATTTTCTTGTTCATGTCCTTTGCCCGTTTTTGATGCATGGTTTTATTTATTTCTTCATTTTAGAAACAATTTACTCAGTAATGGGCTTAGCCTGAAATCCCTCGCTGAGACTGTTTTGAACTTTCCCCTTGACAAGTCCCTTCTACTTCGTTGCAGCAACTGGGATGCTGAGACTCTTACAGAGGATCAGGTACTTCATATCAGGGTAGATGAAGAATGGAAAGTTATTGCTTCAGAAGTATAACTTTTTAAAATTCAAATTCTCAAATATAATATAAGTATTGGATGGAGATGCCTTAAAATAGATTCATCATGCGGTGATAGTCCAGCTAACTGGTCTACAGTAATCACTTAAATAAAAGTTAAGAGTCCTATTGTTGTTTTATTTTTGAGATGGAGTCTCACTCTGTTGCCCAGGCTGGAGTGCAGTGGTATGATTTTGGCTCACTGCAACCTCTGCCTCCCGGGTTCAAGCAATTCTCCTGCCTCAGCTTCCTGAGTAACTGAGATTACAGATATGTGCCACCACATCCGGCTAATATTTTTTTGTATTTTTAGTAGAGACGGGGTTTTACCATGTTGGTCAGGCTGGTCTCGAACTCCTGACCTCAAATCATCCTCCCACCTCAGCCTCCAGGTGTGAGCCACCAAGCCCAGTCAAGAGTCCTGATTTTTTTGGGCATTTCCTATGTTGGGCATTTCGGAAAAAGGAATTTTTTTTATGAATACAAATGCATAATTTTAAAAAATCATAATGTTATAAATGAGTAGGAGTTATAACTTATTTTAAGAAGCAGTAAGTAGTTCCCTGCATTATCTTTCCCCATTCCTAATCCTTCTTCTTCTTCTCAGAAGCAACCACTTTCATTTCTTTCTGGTAATTACCATTATACTTCTAAATTACATGCATGCATTATTCTTTCTTATTTATATATATTGTCTTTTGACATTGTACTATGGAATATATGGTTTAGTGCTCTTGCAGCTCCCCTGCCTTCAGACAAATACTTCTTTTCCCAATCCTCCCAATTTAGGTAAATCATTATTTTTATCAGGTTAATATCTAGTATTTATATTATTTATAGCCGAGTCACATGGTAAACTGCAGTTACTTTTGTTTCCCAGGATCAATAATTAGCATTTTGTTTAAATAGTGTTCTCTGTACCTGTTGTTTCCACCTGAGACTCCTTACCTGGGGTGAGGAAATGAGGATCTCCTCTGGGTGGGTTCAGACTCACGTCAGGTCACTTACTTGGTTCATTTTCCCTTGGAGCCTTCCCTCCTATGGCCCTCTATCATCTGGCTCCTCCCAGGACAGACTGCACTCTAGGCCTGCTGCCCAATTCTCATCCTAGAATTTGCATTTATCATCAGCCTGGGAATTCCCTTGACCTCTCTCTTCCATAGTAGATCTCTGTTTTTAAAATTCCTTGTCTTTTTCCTTTCTTGTCTTGGCAGAGTACATTCATAACAGCTTCTTGAGAAAGGGAGCATGAGAAGTAAAAAAAAAAAGTCAGTAACTGTGTCTTTTCTCTCAGATGAGTTAGTTTCTCAGGAGATGAATTGTCTAGTCTTCTATTCAAGAAGTATAAGCCCCACTGCCTATATTCCAGTTTCTGAGTGGGGGAAAGGTGCTGGTGGTCTTAACATTCAGTGTGTAGTCTCTCCCTTAATCCCCCTTTCTTCAGGTGACATTTTGTCCCTCCCTTCAGTTGTGCCTGGTATTACCAGGTCCAGATCCGCTGTGGTTTAACCGTTATATGATTTAAACTTGTACTGCCTTTTGGTCTAGGGAAGGGATAGTTGTCTGGCCCTGTGCTCTAAAGGAGGAGATCAGGGTGTAAGTGTTCTCTATGGAGATTTCACCTTATCCTTCTGTTTTCACTCTTGCTTTCACAGATACCTGGTGCCTCCATTCCTCATGCTTTCCTGGTCTCTGTGGCTCAAACCCATTTGAACTTTGGCTTTTTGCCATACCACTTCCATAGGCCTAGTTTCAGCCTTGTTTGCCGAGTCAGTTACCACATGTTCATCCTTGAGAAATGTTAACTGGCTTCCAAAGCAGCTAGACCATTTTGTATGCCCACCAGCAGTGTATGAGGGTGCCGATGTTCTGCATCCTTGCTGACATTTGTTATTGTCAGTCTTTTTTATTAGAGCCATCCTAGTAGGTATGAAGTGGTATTTCATGGTGGTTTTGATTTTTACATTTCCCTTGTGACTAATGATGCTGGGCATCTGTTCATGTGCCTGTTGGCCATTTGTATATCTTCCGTGGAGAAATATCTATTCATATCCTTTGCCCATGTTTTAATTGAGTCATTTGTTATTTTATTTTTGAGTTTTAGGAATTCTTTGTGTATTTTAGATCCTTTTCAGATACATGATCTATAAAGTATTTTCTCCCATTCTGTGGGTCGTCTCTTCACTTTCTTGATGGGGTTGTTTGAAGCACAATAGGTTTTAATTTTGATGAGCTCCAGTTATCAGTTTCTTTTTTAAAATTTCTTCTTTTAATTGCTTATGTTTTTGGTGTCATATTCAAGAAATCCTTGCCTCACCCAAGGTTGTGATGATTGAATCCTGTTTTCTTCTAAAAGTCATATAGTTTTAGCTGTTGCATTTAAGTCTGTAATCCATTTTAAATTGGTTTTTGTGTGTCATGTGAGGTAGGAGTCCACATTCACTCTTTTGCATGTTGACCTCTAGCCCTAGTACCATTTGTTTCTTTATCATTAGAAAACAATGTGTTAAAGAGTACTCTGAAGTCTTCGCATACAAGGACACATTCTTCTTTGGGAAACAGTCTGCTAATAGATATGTAGATTGTTGGATCTAGGTGGAAAATTTTATCAAAACTTGTTTTATTCTAAAAGTATAAATGATCCTTACAAATAGAATTATTCACTGCCTTGGTTATTAAAGGTAAACTAATAGAATTTTTTAAGAGTCCTTACGCTTTTTGTTGGGGAAAGCTATTAATTTTAGTTTTTTTATGTGAGAGGGAGTCTCACTCTGTCGCCCAGGCTGCAGTGCAGGGGCGTGATCTCGGCTCACTGCAAACTTTGCCTCACAGGTTTAAGTAATTCTCCTGCCTTAGCCTCCTGAATAGATGGGATTACAGGTGTGCACCGCCATGCCCAGCTAATTTTTCATATTTTTAGTGGAGACGGGGTTTCGCCATGTTGGCCATGCTGGTTTCGAACTCCTGGCCTCAATTATCCACCCGCCTCAGCCTCCCAAAGTGCTGGGATCACAGGTGGGAGCACCATGCCTGGCCTAATTTTAGTTTTGACAACAGTACTTTTCTTTTATTTTTTTTTTTGAGATGGAGTCTTGGTCTGTCTCTTAGGCTGGAGTACAGTGGCACAGTCTCAGCTCACTGCAACCTTTGCCACCTTTATTCAAGTGATCCTCCTACCTCAGCCTTCTGAGTAACTGGGTTTACAGGTGTGCACCACCATACCCAGCTAATTTTTGTATTTTTCGTAGAGGCAGGGTTTCACCATGTTGGCCAGGCTGGTCTTGAACTCCTGATATCAGGTGATCCACTCGTCTCAGCCTCCCAAAGTGCTGGGATTACAGGGGTGAGCCACTGCACCTGGCCCACAGTACTTTTCTTTATGACCAGCTTGCCTATCACTGGTTGCTTAGGAGGATGACTTACCACTATAAAATAAATAAATTCTAGGAATGAGCCCCGTGACTTTGACTTGAGGCCCATGTTTGAAACTTATTTGTTTTCTTTGTTTTCAATAGACATGGCAGGTCATTTCTGATTGACACTCATACAAACCTCCTAATGAATCATGGTTTCAACTATCCCAGAGGATGACTGCCTCCAAAGTGAATTTCATGTACTAATTGTCAGGCCTTTGTTAACTACCCTAACCCCAAACTTGACAGAAATCTGTCCAGCAATTTGGTAGCAGATAGAAACTTCACTAATTTATATACTTGAGAATTTTCTAGCATTTAGAGTAAGTCATTATTTTAGCTATTTGAGTTAAAAACATAGGGAACATGAGATTTAATCATACTATTCAATTGACTTTTGTATAGTTTGAAAATTTTTATAATAAAAAGTATTAAGGAAGTATATGGTATCTAGGTTGTCATACGTTTTGAATTAAGATCCTAAGAGTTATCTATTTTTTTGTGGTTGACTTTAAAGTTGCTCTCTCTGGTTTGCCTTCTGGATTCCACTGATCTTTGACTTTTCTCTTCAGGTAATTTATGCTGCCAGGGATGCCCAGATTTCAGTGGCTCTCTTTCTTCATCTTCTTGGATACCCTTTCTCTAGGAATTCACCTGGAGAAAAAAACGATGACCACAGTGGCTGGAGAAAAGTCTTGGAAAAATGCCAGGGTGTGGTAGACATCCCATTTCGAAGTAAAGGAATGAGCAGATTGGGAGAAGAGGTTAACGGGGAAGCAACAGAATCTCAGCAGAAGCCAAGAAATAAGAAGTCTAAGATGGATGGGATGGTGCCAGGCAACCACCAAGGGAGAGACCCCAGAAAACATAAAAGAAAGCCCCTGGGGGTGGGCTATTCTGCCAGGTAACCAAGTCACTCCTTGTCTAGTAAAGAGTCAGTGGCCCAGCCTTAGCAAAGGGTGTGATGCTTCCCTTGGGTCTGGGGAGAAGGCTTGTAGTTGGGGAGCAGCAGCTCTCCAGGGGTTAATCTTGCTTTTTCTTTCCATCAGAGACATTTGGACTCTCCTTTGCTTTTTTTGTGTATTTCTCTCCCTTTCCCCTATTTTACTTTTTTATCTTTTGACAGTTGGAGTGAAAATGAGGAAAGCTTAGCTTAGTTCTATCATTGACTCTGATGTGACCTTAGGCCTTAACTTCTCCAACTGTAAATGAGGGTATAATTATCATTCCTTCCTCGTCTCAGGATAGCTGTGAAAATAAATAACACGTAGTGCCTCATACTTTTCAGGAGAAATGCGTCATCTGATTTCTTGTTCATATGTTATTTGATTATTTAGAGTGACATCCAGCTCCAAGAAAATGTTATTCTCTAGCCAACGAAAAATTTCCTGTATACCTTAATTCCTCTATTGTAGGAAGACGACTAAGTACTTTGGAGCAGAAATTTGGTCCCTGTAGCAAAGTGCCTTTAGGAATTAATTGGATGATTAAATTGAAGGAAGTGTTACTGCATGCGAGTCAGAAGTAAATCCACATGGCCCTCATTACTTTGGCTTGAACTTAAAAATTTTTAATTTACTTTGTTTAACCCAATGATTTGGCAGTTTTCTTGTTGCTCCATTCTGGTTTGCATTCACAGCAGAGCTGTGTGTAAACCACCCGACTCACTGCTTGATGTCCCAGTCTATAAGTGTAAAAACTAGAGGCAGAAACGAATTCATTTTTAGTTCTGTTTCCTATCCCAATGAAAGTGGAGAATGAAACATGGTTTCTTGCTGTTTGTTTTTTCCATAGTGGTGAGTTTGACCTTAGTGTTGAAAATAGTTTGAGTTACTCAGAAGAGAGCATGGGAAAGCAACAGACATTCTGACCCACAGTTAGCTTTCAGTTTGAGATTTCTCATTCCCTTCCCTGCAGAAAATCACCGCTTTATGATAACTGCTTTCTCCATGCTCCTGATGGACAGCCCCTCTGCACTTGTGATCGAAGAAAAGCTCAGTGGTACCTGGACAAAGGCATTGGTGGTATGAGATTCAGCTGTCCTTGCTTATCTCTTTAATTAGATGCATTGGATGCTGGGAGGATTGGGGAGTGAGATAAGGAAGAGGGAGGGATAGAAGAAGGCAGGGAGACCTTGAGATGCACGGGACTGGGTAGGCACAACCTGGAAATTGTGTTCTCTGCCAGGACACAGCAGAGAACAGTGAAGGTAGTGCTGCTTCTTGTTGGGGTCGGGGGTGGGGGAACAAGGGGAATAGTCAAACATTGATGTCTCTTCCCTTAAGAGCTGGTGAGTGAAGAGCCCTTTGTGGTGAAGCTACGGTTCGAACCTGCAGGAAGGCCCGAATCTCCTGGAGACTATTACTTGATGGTTAAAGAGAACCTGTGTGTAGTGTGTGGCAAGAGAGACTCCTACATTCGGTGAGTGTGGCATTGGGCTGCCCTGGTTGTCTGTGCAGATGGAAATTGTTTTTGTGGCCATATGTAGATCCCTTGGGGGCTGTGGCTGAGTCTGTTCACTTTGGCTGAGAGGTTTGTCCCTAGGGGGCATCCGGCTTCCCCAAGAGCTCTGGTACTCTGCTGCCCTTGCTATGGTGGCCCTAATCTCTCCTGAGCCATCTCTCAGTTTCTGGAATGCAACACCATGCTCAGTAATGGTCTGTCATGGAGAAAGTGGTTCCCTTTTGCTCATGAAGACCAGTTCCTTCAGAAGTTGTGTCCTTCTCATCCTCACTTGACTGGTTCACCAGCTTTCTAAGCCGTGGTTTTATTCATGGAGTCTCCAGATGTCCTGAAGCCTGCTCTGTGCTGTAATACTGTTTCACATCAGGGTCCCTGCACCATGAGGGTGAGGCTGCTGACTATGCCTGAGTGCCCAGACACTTGGGCTTTCTCCCTGGCTTCTGTGGAGTCACTCACTTTCCTCCTTTCTCCCCTGTAAAGGGAGACAAAGTCATTGCTGCCAAGAGTTTTTCCTGAAAGTATAGTTCTCCTTAGAAAATAATGAGGGACTCTGGTAAAGCAGGAAAATAGAGTAAGGGATTCCTCAGATGAAGGAAATTGGCTTTATCAGGTTTCCAGGCTTTCTTGAGAGAGTTGTTTGCCAGGTGTCAAAGCCCATTAGAGTATCTTTTCAGTTTTCTGAGATTTTCCCTTCTGGGAGCACAGCCTTCCCAGAGGTTGTTATTAAGCTCTTACTACGCTGGCCCTCCACTGAAGCCCACAGCAGGTGGTCTGTACCTACTTTCAGGAGAGAGGAAGCTGAGACACAGGATGGGCTGAGAGTGAAATAGGTGATAGTGCCTTTCTGTGATCTGTGTTAGGCGGTGGTGCCCAAGGCTTCCCAGTCATACTTAGGCCCTGTTAAAACCCCAATAACCTGTTTGCTGTCTTCTCATGTGCTCGATCATATGCTCATGAGCACTGCTTTCTGGCTGGGCTTGTTCCAGGAAGAACGTGATTCCGCATGAGTACCGTAAGCACTTCCCCATCGAGATGAAGGACCACAACTCCCATGATGTGCTGCTGCTCTGCACCTCCTGCCATGCCATTTCCAACTACTATGACAACCATCTGAAACAGCAGCTGGCCAAGGAGTTCCAGGCCCCCATCGGCTCTGAGGAGGGCTTGCGCCTGCTGGAAGATCCAGAGCGCCGGCAGGTGCGTTCTGGGGCCAGGGCCCTGCTCAACGCGGAGAGCCTGCCTGCTCATCGAAAGGAGGAGCTGCTGCAAGCACTCAGAGAGTTTTACAACACAGACATGGTCACAGAGGAGATGCTTCAAGAGGCTGCCAGCCTGGAGACTAGGTACAACGCACAGCCCTGCCCAGAGAAGGGATTGTGGGATGTACCAGGGACATTAACCCTCACTGCTTAGTAAGATTGCTTGCCAGGGAGGGGGCATCAGCTGCTTAGGTGCAGTGCCTAGCCTCATACTTTGCCTAGTAGGTGTCTAGCAGTTGAAGATGCCTTGGGAGTGGAATAGAACAATGTACTTGACGATTTCCTTTTTATGGAAACTTGCTTTTTGTGAGGTGCCTCTTTGACCTTTTTTAAGATCATACACTTAAGTTCGGTTATTTTTATGATTAGCATGAGAGTGCAGTTGTGATGGATCTGCATCTTACACATTCTATGCAGACGTAAATCCTCATGCCAGCACATGTATGAAAAAATAGTCCAGTAATACTCTCAAAGCTCTGAAGTTTCCCTCAGTATCCATGGGGTTATCCATGGTTCCAGGACCTACCTTGGATACCAAAATCTACCAGTGCTTAAGTGCCTGATGTACAATGGCATAACATTTGCATATATCCTACAGACATCTTCCTGTATACTTAAATCACCTGTAAATTACTTATAATACCTAATACAATGCAAATGCTATGTAAGTAGTTTTTATAAATTGTTTAAGAAGTGATGATTAGAAAAAAGTTTGTATATGTTCAGTACAGATAGTACACATATATTTTTTTCCAAATAGGTTTTTCTTTTGACATAGTATATGGCTCTGTCACCCAGGCTGGAGTGCGGTGTCACTAGCCTGGCTCGCTCTAACTTCCGCCTCCCAGGCTCAACTGATCCTCTCACCTCAGCCTCCCAAGTAGATGGAACTACAAGCATGCGCCACCACACCCAGCTAATCTTTGTATTTTTTGTAGAGATGGGGTTTCACCAGGCTGCCCAGGCTGGTCTCGAATTCCTGACCTCAAGCAATCTACCTGCCTTCGCCTCCCAAAGAACAGGGATTACAGGCATGAACCATTGTGCCTGGCCCCAAATCATTTTGATCTGAGGTTGTTTGAATCCACAGATGCAGAACCCACAAAGATGGAGGGCCAACTATATATGTGGTTTTGTGTCTCCGACATTATACAGGTCTGTGAGAACTGTGACTAATGAATTCATAGTTCTAATCTCACCTGTACCCCAGGGTATTGGCCCACTAAATGGAATGTTGAGCAGAATTGCTATTACTATTTAAATTACTTTCCTCTTTTTTCCTTCCTTTTTTCTCCCTCCTTCTCCATGAGTACATAGTTGAATTCATGTGACATAATGCAGTGTTCTGAAATGAGAAATGAATGGCCACATGGCTCAGATATAAGAACTCTAGGCTACCGTACACGGTTCTGCCTCCCAGTTGTCACTTTTTCGAACAGGACTAGAAGTTGAAATAAGGAAACTGATAAGTTCAGAAACCATGAAAGTGATGCTGGTTGCCTATGGATTTTTCTTAACTAAAAAATAAAAAAGTAATTATAACAGCCAATATTTAATTTTTTTTGAAAACAAAAATTTTTTTCACTGATCCATTACAGACACTGCAAATATTTATTGAACAGATATTTATAGATGTACTATATCTTGCAGCAAGCAAGCTAATAAACTTCACATAAATTGCCTTAATTGTTTCTCATGACAACCTGATGAAGTAGGATTTAGATTTCTTACTGGTTAACTGCTACTATTATATCTTACATTAAAAAAAATCTTTCAGAGCTTTAAAAGAATTACTGATTTTTATCCCCATAACTGTTTTGTGAGGTTGTAGAATAGATGTTGTTTTGTACATTTTTATTGGATACCCTGAGGTTAGAGTTAAGTTACTTGCCAAGACCATATATGTTACAAATTAGAGAGACATGGCTACTTTGACCCATTTCCAAATATGTTTTCTTTTATTTTTTTGAGACAGAGTCTCTGTTGACACCTAGGCTGGAGTGCAATAGCATGATGTTGGCTCACTACAACCTCCACTTCCTGGGTTCAAGCGATTCTCCGGCCTCAGCCACCCAAATAGCTGGGATTACAGGCATGCACCACCACACCCAGCTAATTTTCATATTTTTAGTAAAGACAGGGTTTTACCTCGTTGGCCAGGCTGGTCTCGAACTTCTGACCTCAAGTGATCTTCCCATCTTGGCCTCCCAAAGTGCTGGCATTATAGGCGTGAGCCACCATGCCCGGCTGCCAATATATTTTCTGAAGCAGCTAAACCTCTCCTTTCAGCCACAGACTTTTCTAACAAATTCATCTTACTGAATTGGATAGATAAATGCTGGACTTGTGACTGAGAACAGCTGTTTGGAGGCAGGCAAGTTAGTAGGAAGCACATGAACTAAGTGTTAATAATAAGGTGTCTGCAGATACCCAGAGGCACCAACACTACTGTGGTGGTGGGCGTCTTGGGAGGGAGGATTGAAAGTGGGGTATGGATGTAGGAGAGGAGAGTGTGTGTAGCCAGGGTGCTTCCTTGAGGAAGGTCATCTTTATTCACAGGAGGTGAAAGCACCAGTCACATGGTATCACAGCAGTTTTTAAGGACTCTCTGCTTAGGAGGGAGGGAGGGATTGTGTTGTCATTTCATGGCACCATTTGCACTACTGAGCAACCATGGTAGCATTTAACTTTGACCGAAACACTTCTCACCACTGTGGCTTGGCATCTTTTTGTGAGAAAGATGGCTCTAAAGAAATACGCTACCTTGCATTTTGCATTGTTATTAAATTGTGTTGTGAAAAAGTGAAACGTGGGCCAATTTAACAGCCTCATATAAATACTGTGTCTCAGAATGAACAACTTAAAAGAGGGCTGAGCTGGTCACTGAGTAATGCTGGAAGAAATGGAAAACCAGCATTATCATCCATTATCATCAGCTGGATGGTAGGGCCCCTGTAGTGGGGGCTGAACTTTATGTAGTGGCCTTCTCTCAGTAGAGCTCAGAACCCTCAAATACCATTCTGTTGGGATTGAGAGTCCTGTGTTAGGACTATACACAAGGGTAGAGATAAGAAAGAGGATGTTTGGCTGGGTGTGGTGGCTCACACCTGTAATCCCAGCACTTTGGGAGGCTGAGGTGGGCAGACCACCTGAGGTCAGAAGTTCGAGACCAGCCTGGCTAACATGGTGAAACCCTATCTCTACTAAAAATAAAAAAAAAAATTAGCCAGACATCGTGCACCTGTAATCCCAGCTACTCGGGAGGCTGAAGCAGGAGAATCTCTTGAACCTGAAAGGTGGAGGTTGCAGTGAGCCAAGAACATTGCACTCCAGCCTGGGCAGCTGAGCGAGACTCCATCTCAAACAACAACAACAAAAGAATGTTTCGAAAACACCAAAGTAAGAAACCCTTTAGGAGTCCTTCAACCTCCTTGTTTACCCTTGGCCTGCAGCATTTGAAGCTGTCTGTGAGACCATCCTGTGCTTGTTTCCCTCAGACCCTTTGTTTTTCATGTCTTGGCAGAATCTCCAATGAAAACTATGTTCCTCATGGGCTGAAGGTGGTACAGTGTCACAGCCAGGGTGGGCTGCGCGCCCTCATGCAGCTGGAGAGCCGCTGGCGTCAGCACTTCCTGGACTCTATGCAGCCCAAGCACCTGCCCCAGCAGTGGTCAGTGGACCACAACCATCAGAAGCTGCTTCGGAAATTCGGGGAAGATCTTCCCATTAAGCTGTCGTGATAGCTGCTCTCCTCCCAGTTAGGACAGGTGGGAAGCTGGAGCCAAGGTTGAAGAGTCGCCTCTTCCCATTTTAATACACCATTAATTGTCAGAGCCTGGGTGACACAACTCAGAATACTAACCTAGAATAATCCCAGGATGCTTCTGGTGGAGCAAGGATAGTGTTTGAAGGAGAGCTTATGATTTGGGATTTTAAATGGGCAGGGTCTTTTTTCCTCTCTTACTTTTGTGGACAAGAGAGGCCTTTGCCTTTATTTTTACTCTCCCTCTTCTGATTTCCCTGTGCAGAGGAAAAATGAAGAAATCTTCCAGAAGTGACTTGTCAAGACTTTCAAAAAATGTTTTTAATGCATTTCTTCCTTGTCTAATGCCTCGGTTTATCTCTAACAGGGGCTGTCCAGTATATTGGTCCTGTTAGGAGGGGAGAAAGTTCTTCCACAGGCTGGGGAAGTAAACAAGAAGTCAAATTTATTTTCCCAGTTCAGCCTCATAATTATCATTTCTTTGGCTTCATGCTCTCCTGTAACTCATGCAGCTGGGATCCATCCCATCTGCGTCACTTCAGTCTACTTCACATATTTGAAAAGGCTTCCCTTTACGTATCCAGGACCAAACAGCCACTTCCTGCCATGCGCTTCCACCCTATAACTGGGAGAAATCCTTTTCTGGAAATGAGCCTTTGACGAGTGGAGCAGAAAGAACCACAAACTCCAGTAGAACTTTGAAATTCACCCAGTTTTTCCTTCATGCTGTTTGTTGCCTGCCTGTTGCACTCCTCCTGCCCTCAAACTGCAAGATTTAGCTTCATCCTTTTCTCAGAGGAATATTGTCTTTTATCTGAGTCAGTATCAGTTCCCCTGTATTTTGTTCCATTAAATTTGCAAGATTGGCCTCTTTTAAGCATTTAATTCACTCCCAGAGTCATCTAGTCAGGTTGCAATATGAGGACTTCTCTGTCTCCTCGGCAGCCTGGGACACTGAGATTACTTAATATATTAGATGTTCAAAAGAGGAGTGTTGTTTCATCTTTCAAAATGTTAGGCCATCACTTTGAGTATAAAATCGACTTATTAATAAGTATTTTTATTAATTAGTATTTTTTCTAAATACTAACTAGACTTACTAATTAGTATCTTTCCTAAAGTATTAGGAAAACTTTCTTATTTTATAAGATCTTAACAAGCTTAAAAAATATTTTATGACCAGAATCCAACAAGAGCTCTATTTTGAAATTGTGCCCAAGTTGGCGATGTTTGCTCTAAAATTGATAAATAAAACTACTTGTAAGCATAAGGCTCACTGGATGTAAATGTAAAACTTCATGACTTCATAAAATTAGTAAGTGTTCCTGGGGGAGGGGATATTTATCCTGCAGGTCCCTGCCTCCTGGTAGTGCCATGGTATGTGTGCGTGGATATACCAGACACAGTCACCATCGGCCATCAATAATAGCAACCCATGAACCCACGTGCACATCCCGAATCTTACTCCTCTGACCCTTCATTCCGACTTGTCTTCAAGTGGGCATTTCTGGGATCTAAACTAGAAATCCTTGAAAACAAATGGTACCAGCCATTTTGAGGAAATGTACATTCACTGTAGTGGGTTTTGATGGGGCTCTGCCTTCTGGCTGTGTTATGCAGAGCCTAGAAGTGGGGAGGAGAGCTGTGGAAATAGATGGGGAGAGGCTGGTACTGGGCTTGTGGTAATAGTTAGGCTTGCCACAGGAGGGCACTCATAGATTTGTTTTTATATTCATTCTTTTTTTTTTTTTTTTTTTTTGAGACGGAGTTTCACTCATGTTACCCAGGCTGGAGTGCAATGGCGCGATCTCGGCTCACCGCAACCTCCGCCTCCTGGGTTCAGGCAATTCTCCTGCCTCAACCTCCTGAGTAGCTGGGATTACAGGCACGCGCCACCATGCCCAGCTAATTTTTTGTATTTTTAGTAGAGACGGGGTTTCACCATGTTGACCAGGATGGTCTCGATCACTTGACCTCGTGATCCACCCGCCTCGGCCTCCCAAAGTGCTGGGATTACAGGCTTGAGCCACCGCGCCCGGCCTTATATTCATTCTTGAGAAAAAAGTGACTGGTTACTGAACACAACTCATGACTTATGTTTCAAATTTTGCATACCTGATTTTGAGTCATTTTGATAGCTTTGCAAGAAAAAAATTTTCCTTTGAATTGAAAGTAGGGCTGTTTCATTTTCTTTCCTTCTAATCCTCATGCTAAGAGATGAGTAACATTTAAGGTCATTTAAGGTGCAGTGGAAGAGAGAATGGCTTCTCCCATTGAGCTTTCTATGAGGCACAGGAAAATAGAGCCAGCAGCAAAGCAGAGGAAAAAACCAGATTGTGTCACACAAGATTTCACATTGTTTTCAGAAGAGAGTTACTGTGTAGATTTGAATCTTTTTTGAGTCTGCCTTGAACTTTAGCAGGCTTTTCCTAAGACTGACAATTGTCATCTTAAATGAGAGATTTTAGGGTAGACTTATTTTATGGTAAATGTCTATTTTTCTGATACAAAAGTAACAATGCTCATTACAGAAGGGTCTAAACAAAGAGTGAAAATCAGCCATCTTCTCTCTAGAACAGAGCTAAACTTTGCTGATATATTTATGAATTTCCGTTCAGCATTTAAAAATGCATATAAGGTATATAATATTTAAACAAAATCGAAGGTCATACATATATACAGGTCAGTATCCTAACTTTACCCTCTCACTGATTAACGTGGTGTCATAAGTAACTTCCTATATCTTTAAATCTTTGAAAATAGATTTCTAGTGGTTCTACCTTACCCGTCCCCACACTGTTGAAAATTTTGGTTGTTTCAGATCTTTTATTATCAATAACGATGTGATAAAGTTTCTCGTGTATATCTCTTTGGCTGTATCTTTGGTAATTTCTTTAGAAGCTTAGAATTGGATTGTGGAGAGGGGGACTCAACATTGCTGGGGTTGAGTACGAGTTGACATCCCCTTTCGTAGGAATGGAATGCTTCCTTTGACCCATCAGCTCCAGTGTCCTGGCATGGTCACTGAGCTTCCTGTGAGTAGCAGTGAGAGGACAGCATCACAGCAAGGGCCTCTCTGCGTGCTGCCTGGTCATTGTGTTTGCGGGTTCAGCATCACTTCTTGAGTCCTTCCCATCTTCCATCCTTACTGCCTCATTTCTCCCTTGTAGTCAATGTTTTTTGGAAACACTGTTTATATTTATTTTAAAATAAAAATGTAAAAAAAAGGTAAAAAAATAAAATTTTAAACTTTAAAATAAAGGCTATAGGCAGATGTTTTTTCCCTGCTACGTAAACAATTAGCGATTCCCATCCCAAAGTGAATGAGGCCCAATATTCAGGGATTTGTTACTGCTTAAGAGCACGGCCAGAAGTTACTTATTTTTATCCATGTCACGAATAGAGATCAGATGACAAAATGTGTTCTGTTGAAATAAAGCCATTTTAATCCTGCATTTTAGACTCTTAAGAATCCAGCAGGCAGAAAGAGGTTTTGTTCACCTTCCGATTCTGCCTGTTAGTTTGGGGCCCTAACATTTGACTGTAAGTTCTTAGTTTACCCTGCCGCTCAGTTTCTCGTTCATTTATTTATCCTTTCTTCCTTTTTCCCCTTCCTTATGTCTCAGCCTTAAAAGAAGTATCATTTTTTTTTTAAAGAAGATATTTTCTGAGTTTGCTAGTTTACTAATTATTATGTACTTTAAATCTTTTTCTTCCTGGTCTTTTATGTTTATTATAAGATGGTCATTTTTCAAGAGTACCCAATCCCTTCAGGAATACAGTGACAGTTTTTGTTGGAAGAGGTAAACTAACAGCGGGTGTAAGAATGATTCTTGTTTTGATTAACTAATGATTGGTCTGAATAACATAAAAATAATACATAATACCTCCAGTACATTTTTTGACAGGTTCTCACTCCAGACTGGAGTATAATGGTGCAGTCATGGCTTAACTGCTGCTTCCACCTCCAAGGCTCAAGCAGTCTCCCATCTCAGCTTCCCAAGTAGCTGGGACTACAGGCTTGCAGCACCGTGCCCAGCTAAATTATTTATTTATTTATTTATTTATTTAAGACGGAGTCTCACTCTGTCTCCCAGGCTGGAGTGCAGTGGCACGATCTCAGCTCACTGCAACCTCCACCTCCCTGGTTCAAGCAATTCACCTGCCTCAGCCTCCCAAGTAACTGGGATTACAGGCTCACACCACCACACCTGGCTAATTTTTTTGGCATTTTTAGTAGAGACAGGATTTCACCATGTTGACCAGACTGGTCTCGAAATCCTGACCTCAGGCAATCCACCCTCCTCAGCCTCCCAAAGTGCTGGGATTACAGGCATGTGCCACCGCACCCGGCCTAATTTTTAAAATTTTTTTGTTGAGATAGGGCCTTGCTTTGTTGCACAGGCTGGTCTCAAACTCCTGGCCTCAAACAGTCCTCTCACCTTAGCCTCCCAAAGTACTGGTCTTACAGTTATGAGCCACTGTGCCCAGTCTCCCAAATACTTTTGTTTTGGAATTCAGCTATAATTTCAGGCCTTCACCAAGATGCCCCTCATGCAAGAGCCCAGCACCTTCTGCCTGTCCCAGTCCTGGAGCAGTTTTGCATCAGGCGGTGGAGCAGGGATGACGTGCAGCCACACAGCCCACGTGTTCCAAAGCACCTATTCCACCAGCCTGCTAGGGGAGATGTGTTAGTCACTCCCTTTGTTTGAGGACCCAAGGCCTTGCTTAAATGCTAACATGTTATTTGGAAAGGTGAGAAGTACATTAGACCATTGATTTTTTTCTAACCAGCTTTGTCTGTGGCCAACTGTCACTGGAGGCCCTTGGAAACTGGGTAACTGCTCATTCTGTGCTGTGACTGAATGGAGATAATGTCATACCCTCCAGACTGAACTCAAAGCATTTTCCCTCCCTCTAGCCTCCTTATTTGTTATTCTCAAATTTTTCTCTCTTGCTGGATGGGTAGCCTGTTGTCTTTCTCCCAGCATAAGCTTCAAAAGCTGCGGTGTTTACAGGCAGCATTATTATAAGCATGATGCATGGATTCAGAATATTCCTGAGTTGAAATATTTCGAGTCTACTGCTGCTTTTTTTTTTTTTTTTTTTTTTTTTTTTTTTTTTTGAGAGGGAGTTTTGCTCATGTCTCCCAGGCTGGAATGCAGTGGTGCAATCTTGGCTGACTGCAACCTCTGCTTCTTCCTGGGTTTAAGTGATTCTCCTGCCTCAGCCTCCCAAGTAGCAGGGATTACAGGCGTATGCCCCCAGGCCTGGCTAATTTTGGTATTTTTAGTAGAGACGGGGTTTCACATATTGGTCAGGCTGGTCTTGAACTCCTGACCTCAAGTGATCCACCCACTTCGGCCTCCCAGAGTGCTGGAATTACAGGCATGAGCCACCACGCCCGACCCCTACTTCTGCTTCCTAAAGATCTCCCTTCTCAGGCTGCAACATGCCAGGGCAGAGTTGAGATTCTGGCCACTCAGGCCACACGAGTATCTAGTAAGTCCTGGGTAAGAAACAGAATTTTGAGCTTAGTAAGCTAAAGGGGGCTGAAAAGGAGTGAGACCGAAACATGGATAACTTTAAAGGAGGTGTGTTTATTTGTTTAGTGGGGGTGCGGCGGGCTGGGGTTTGTTCACGAACTGAATTCTAAATTTTGCCCTTTCCTATACCTAGTTCTGTCATGTATTGGAGGATCAGAGAAAAGTGTGCTGTTGACTCAGGTTCCGGTTCCAGCCACCAGCTGTGTGCCTTTGGACACACCACTTTTCTGGGCTCCTTTCTGTGTCTGTAGAGGTTTGAATTAGATGTGCCATAAGGGCCCTCCTAGCTGTAGCATTCTGTAATCCACCCCACTGTTTTTTTATGTGGCTCTTTCCCTTGAGTAGTGTGGACTTTCTGCTTTATTGCACACCCTTGTCCCACGCCCAGTGCTGGGAATGGAGACTGCGTGGAAAGAAGGGTAATGAGGGAAGCAGGATGCCACAGCATGGCCTCACTCACTAATGAGAAGCCTGCTCTCTTCCTCTGTTGTCAGAATACCTGTCTCACCGGAGGTGTCTGTGTGTATGGCTCTAGGGAACTCACATTTCCCTATCACCCACTTCACTATATAATTAGAAAGAGAGAAGGAAAATCTGTATGTTTAACCACATTGCCAGTGCTGTAGGATTTAATAGGAGATAAGTGTAAAGGGGAAATGAGGCAAGTGTGCCAGGTGTTGTAGATGGGAGGATACTGAGGAACGAAAGACTGTTTCTCATTTTAAGGGTAACAAAATTAAGGATGTACATACATATATATATATGTATTTATATATGTATATGTTTATGTATGTATATATATGTATGTAATAGAGCATTGAATTGGAGACTTTAAAAAAAACCTTATACCAATAAGTAAAAATACTTTCTCTTTTTTGTGTGTGATGTTGTGACAGTCCAAGAATATTGGAGGCATCCACAGTGTTAACACGTTCTTACCCATGCGTGAGTCCTAAGACATGAAGAACTCACAGGGAGACTGCAGAGAGTCTCTGGAACCTGTCTTGTATAATCCTGACTTGCCTTGGACTTTGTCTTGTTTGCCTTTGCCTTTGCCTGGGCATCAGCTAGACAGACATATGCAAAATGTAAAGCTTGCATTTTATAAGCTGCTGAAGACATTTCTCTCTATATATCCATCCTCTATGACCCGAAAGAAAATATACTTTTTTGGGGGAGGGGGGCAGAGTTTCACTCTTGTTGCCCAGGCTGGAGTACAATGGTGCAATCTCGGCTCACTGCAACTTCTGTCTCTCGGGTTCAAGCGATTCTCCTGCTTCAGCCTTCTGAGTATCTGGGATTACTGGTGCCCGCCGCCATGCCCAGCTAATTTTTGTATTTTTAGTAGAGATGGGGTTTCACCATGTTGACTAGGTTGATCTTGAACTCCTGACATCAGGTGATCCTCCCACCTCAGCCTCCCAAAGTGCTGGGATTACAGGTGTGAACCACCGCGCCTGGCCAGAAACATACTTTCTAGTCCATCTTTGTGCTTAATTTTGGTCCCAACGTGGATAGGCTTTTCATCATGTATCACAGATTTGTACCAAGTGTGTTCGTCTTGGAGCTCTTTTCACAATAATCACTTAGACCTAGACATGAGTCCCTGCTTTCTATCAAGTTGGGGTTCTTTTGTTGTTTATTTCAGAAAAAGTGGGCAGCTAGCCAAAAAGGAAGCTTAACGACATTTCTCTGCCCTCTCTTTGATGCACCCTAACTTTATCTAAAATTCTGAAATTTCTTCTTATATCCCATGGAATCAACTAAAAGCCCTGTCAGCTGGCTTAGTCTCTTTTTAATCAAGATATGTATGTTTGGCCCTGGAGGATTGGTAAGTCTGAGCCGTTGCACATATGGCTCCTCTGAGTTCTTGGACACAACGAGCAGGACTAAAGTTGGCTAAGAAAAGGAACAGAAGATGACTTGGGGTTAGTTTTTCTTTTTTAAATGTTATACAAGTGCAGAGCTCTTGGCTGTCATCCCCCTCTCAAACCATCAGCAGAGCTTGACCTTGGCCAAGATGCTGCCTCATCCTCTCGGCATTTCAGCACGGAGTTGTGTTTCAGCCATGGAATGCTTAACTAAAAGCACATGCTGTAGTGGTGATTTCCAAAGAGTTAAGTTTTTGCAAAAAGTCCACATAATGTTTCCTCATAATAGCTTTCTCTGAACCACCAACCCAACAAACCTCTAAGTGGTGATTTTTTTGGCTTATTTGTACACAAGGACTGGGAATTTTTTTTTTTTCTTTTTTTATAGCAATACGTTATTGAAGTGTAATATAATTAACATACAATAAAGTGCACAAATCTTAAGAATACAAGTCAATGAATTTTGACAAATGTGTATATCCATCTAACAATCAGGGGCTGGGGTTTTTAATATGTGAAACACCTAATGATGTACCTTTTGGGATTGGAAGGTTGTGCATTCATCTAGCTGAGATAATTACTATAACACATAAATCTAGATCAAAATGTGATGAAGATCCACCTGCCACAGAGAAAGTATTAATAGAATATAAGGCTAGGGTCTAGGAGAAGTGGCCCAGGAAAGCCATCTATGCGAATTTTGTTTCCTTCCTATTAAGAGGGTTGGGGATGAGAGGTCCTTCCTTTCCTGCCTTGTGAGCCCATGAGTTGTGTAAAACACTGTTCAACAAGGCAGAGGATAAGCCCTCTTATATACTAAGTCCAGGCAGTTTTCCCTTTTGTCACATCTAGTGGATTTGGTTATTGCAGAGCTTCATGTTTGTTATTAATAAGTTAATTTAAAAAAATAGATAAGATGAGGGCCGGGCGCGGTGGCTCAAGCCTGTAATCCCAGCACTTTGGGAGGCCGAGGCAGGTGGATCACGAGGTCAAGAAATCGAGACCATCCTGGTCAACATGGTGAAACCCCGTCTCTACTAAAAATACAAAAAATTAGCTGGGCATGGTGGCGCGTGCCTGTAATCCCAGCTGCTGGGGAGGCTGAGGTAGGAGAATTGCCTGAACCCAGGAAGCGGAGGTTGTGGTGAGCCGAGATCGCGCCATTGCACTCCAGTGTGGGTCACAAGAGCGAAACTCCGTCTCAAAAAAAAAAGAAAAAAATAGATAAGATGTACATGTAGTATGAAGTTTTTAAAGAACATATAATGAGGCTGGGTGCGGTGTCTCACGCCTGTAATCCCAGCATTTTGGGAGGCCTAGGCGAGTGAATCACCTGAGGTCAGGAGTTTGAGACCAGCCTAGCTAACATGGTAAAACCCCATATCTACTAAAAATAGACAAATTAGCCAGCCCAGGCATGGTGGCGGGCGCCTGTAATTCCAGCTACTCAGAAGGCGAAGGCACGAGAATTGCTTGTACCTGGGAGGCAGAAGTTGCAGTGAGCTGAGATTGCGCCACTGCACTCCAGCCTGGGTGACAGAGTGAGACTTTGTTTCGAAAAATAAAAGGGGGACTGGAAATTGCTTCAGTCCTTTTGCCCTCCTTGAAAGCAACCAGTGTTACTGTTACTATTAATTTGCATCCTTCACAGAGACTGTGTGTGTGGGGGGGGGAGGGGGGGTTTGTTTTGTGTTTTAATTCCCAGGTTTCTTCTTTGGTTGCTAACTAAGAATATTCTCCACCCCTTCATGTCATACTTTAGGCTCTAGTTTAGGGCGTTTATGCAGAGACCTTTTGGATACTGCAGCCTCAGTAGGACTAATTCTTTTTGTTCCGTACCATGAAGTTTACCCTCTGTATCTGTCAGCTGGTTCAAAAGTCCACATTTCTCACATATTGGCCATGGGTTTAGAATCATTGAAGCTGTGTGTTTATTATATTAGGCCCTCTACTTTATATATTTGAAATTTTCCATTAAAAATGTTTCTGAAAAACTCTGTCTTTTGTTTGTTTTTTAGAGTAATGCTTATTTGCAACCTAAAAGCCAATCATAGATGAATCTCTAGACAGAACCCCCTGCCCCATCCTCCAAGTCAGACATTCAGAGTTCCCAATTTGCAAATGTGAACTGGGTTGGTTATTCACCTTCACAGGCTATCCGTCTGTATAAACATAGGATTGACTTCAAATTTATTTTGAAAAACCAGCTTCTCTGGCAGGTAAAATTTGATTTATATGCTAAGTCTTTCAAGAATATGAATTTCATGCAGAACAGAGGGCTTATATTCTGCCTTCTCGGACAGTGTTTTATGCAACTCATGTGCTTACGAGCCAGAGAAGGAAGGACCTCTCGTCCCCAACCCTCTAAGTAGGAAGGAAGCAAAATTTGCATGATGGCTTTCCTGGGCCGCTTCTCCTAGACCCTAGCCTTATATTTTATTAATACTTTCTCTGTGGCAGGTGGATAAGGAGTCAGTTCTTCTCCAAATTAGAACTTCATGAAGTTATACAATCCAGGGAAAGGAGTGAGGCTCTTGGTGCTTTCCAATTCAAGTCCCATGTGGTTTCCCTAGGGCCATTTTACCCTTGATGCCCTTTCATGCTTGCGTCTTTGTCTTGCCGTAGTCCTGTCACCCAAGGCCTCTCAGTTATCAAGAAGAATGTTCCCACTGGTCAGGGAACACCCTTTGAGTGTGCCCTTAGAGCAGCTGTTAGATTTGAGCGGCATCTGCTTTATGACAAGTTTGAAGACAGGACGAAGGAAGCCATTGAGTCTTTCCCAGTGGAAGTGGATACCACAAGCTGCCTTAGGGACTGTGTTCAATATGTGAGGAGCTGAGTGGCCTGGCAGCTTCGGTGGGGGTTGGGGATGTACGTGGAGGTCATTCAGGATGGAGCAGGGATCTTCGTGGTCTCAGCCAAGTCATCCATGCAGGGTCCTGATGCTGGAATCCTTCCCTCAGCCTTTGGCTCCAGCCTTTCCTGGGCAGAGAAACAGAATGAGGCAAAATGCCTGGTGTGTTTTAAATAGACTGCTTGTGGCAGCCAATGAGTCCAACAGCTTGGAAGGTGAGTGACCCTTCCCTTCCCTTCTGCCAAGAGAAATGGTACTTACATTGTGCCATTTCTCTGGCCCCCAGCCCCTGGAATGCCACCCCTGCCCCTCCGGCTGTCCTCCCCTCTGACCTAACTCCAGTGGTGTTAGCCATCCTACCGCTGCTCCCTGGATGGACTCTCTTCAGGCTCTTCTGGTTTTAGTATTTATTACACTTTCCACTTGGCTTTTTCTGTCCCCAAAGCTGATTTTCCTCGTGCTATTTGTCCACTCCACCCAGTGCACATCCCCATCTGCTGCTGCTTGTCTGACTTTCATGGCCTCTTGATTATCTTTTTGCCTCCACCTTCCTGTGGCTTGCTAGGGAACAGCCCAACCCCACCTGGGCCTGTGTGCAGTTGGGGTCAGCAAGGTGAGGTCAGCAGTCAGTGCTTCAGCACAGCCAGGGCACCCCAGATTGAGCATGGGCAGCGTGCAGAGCCGTTTTCAGAAGAGTATCTTTTAGCAGAGTTAGGACTTCAGAGGACCAATGTGGCCTCTTCCCACACTGTCTGTGGAGACCACTTACAAAACCTAAGCAATATGATCTCTGGATTCCCAGTAAGGTGTTATACAAAGGAAGGACATGAAGATTTTTTACTTGCTAAGAGGAGAGTGGCTGTGTTGATTCTGGAAAGTGGTAGCGGGTGGGGAATGTGAATGGAGGAACAATCTCGGTTGTTGGACAATGAGAGCTGCAGATGGGAAGCAGACCCCAGTGATGACAGCTGTTTCTTGGCAGTGTGGGAGTGCCATAAGTAGGCCAAATAGGTAATGAGGGGCACAGGGAAGTAGGACACACAAGGGATGGGCCAGCACCCCTTCAAGGTTATAATCAGAAGAGGAAGGCCAGGTGGTGGCTGGATGTCATGGGGGAAAGCTAATGAGGAGCCAGCACTCGGGAGACCAGGCAGCAGGACCCCGCCAGGGATGCAGCAGCCCAGCTCTGCCACATGGAGGCAAGCACTTTGGGGGTGAGGCCAGGAGCAACGGGATCTGTGAGGACCCTGTCTCCCACTTCTTTCTCCCTTTTATTCCTTTTTATGAGCCTGTCCTCATGTCATGTTAAGAGTAGAAAACAAACAAAGGCAGTCTGCCTTTGAAAGGGGATGGCACAGCCTGGAGAATTTAAGGCTGGATGCACTTCCCCCTTTGCTGAATTCTTAGGCCTCTTTGCCCATCTGGTTGCTGGAGCAATAGGGCCAGCCCCTTACTGGAGCACCCTGAATGGGGTCCCTATGCAGCTTGACAGCTCAGGTGCATGCCAGTGGCAAGGGGAGCCAGCAGTGGGTATGTACCCACAGAACCCCTCCAGGCGCATGGGGCAGCCTGGGGAGCAGGGCTCTTGGCCAGCCCCGGTGGAGAGGGGCATTTGCCTTAGGGAGGGCCTGGTCTGAAGGCAGCTCCCAGGGTGTGCCTTCAGCTCAGTCACTGGCTCCTCTTTCCCTAGGCACTGAGCTGCAGAGAGTCCTGTGATAGAAGAAAGAGGAAGGAAAACTTTTCTCTTGCTGGAAGAAAATTTTAGGTAAAGAGGTAAAAAAAACTGAAAGGCACAAAAGGGTATATACAGTGAAGGTCTCTCTCCTACTCCTGTTCTCAAATTCCCCTCCACAGAGGCATCCCTGGATGTACCAATTTCTTGTACATACATTCTTCCAATTTATCCTTTTTTAGGTCTGCTGTAATCCAGAAGTTTCCAGATTCTTGATCAAATGGACTATTTTAAGTTGTTGGGATATGTTTGTGTGTAAGATGTAGAGAGGAGAATCAAATGATAATAAAGAAAATTGTATCCTAATTGATTGCCCATCATTCTTGCTGAGGCAGGGGATGGTTTAAAACATTAAAACAAGAAAATAGGCCAGGCAGAGTGGCTCATGCCTGTAATCCCAGCACTTTGGGAGGCCGAGGCAGGTGGATCACGAAATCAGGAGTTCGAGACCAGTCTGCCCAATATAGTGAAACCCCATCTCTACTAAGAATACAAAAAATAAGCCAGGTGTGGTGGTATACGTCTGTAATGCCAGCTACTCAGGAGGCTGAGGCAGGAGAATTACATGAACCCAGGAGGCGGAGATTGCAGTGAGCGGAGATTGTGCCACTGCACAGTGTGAGACCTCGTCTCAAAAAAAAAACAAACAAAAAAAAAACCCAAAAAAGGTAAATAGAATTCTAAAATGCTAGCACTTGAAAGGAGGTTCCTAGTTGATGCCTGCCTGCCTGCCTTCCTGCCCTCCCTCCCTTCCTCCCTCCCTCCCTCCCTCCCTTCCTTCCTTTCTTTCTTCCTTCCTTCCTTTCTTTCTCTCTGTCTCTCTTTCTCTCTGTTTTTTTTTTGAGTCTCACTCTGTCACCCAGGCTGGAGTGCAGTGGCATGATCTCAGCTCACTGCAACCTCTGCCTCCTGGATTCAAGCGATTTTCCTGCCTCAGCCTCCTGAGTAGCTGGGACTACAGGTGTGCACCACCATGCCCGGCTAGTTTTTTTGTATTTTTAGTAGAGATGGGGGTATCACCATGTTGGCCAGGATGGTCTCCATTTCTTGACCTCGTGATCTACCCACCTTGGCTTCCCAAAGTGCTGGGATTACAGGTGTGAGCCACTGCACCCACCCACCTTTTTTTTTTTTTTTCCAAAGCCCTCCCTATAAACATGCGAAAGAGGCCCTAGATAAGTGACTTTTCCAGGGTCGCCAGGCTAGTTGTTAGCATATTAGCTACTAAGTGGATATTAAAGTAATGTTCCTGGGATTGGTTTATAGCCCAGTATATCCCACTAGGCTGAAGATATCCATCGATATATTCTGAAGTGTAATTTCTAAAACTCAGGTTTCCCATCTCCCAATTGTCCCAGTTGTCCAAGAACATACTGAGTGCTCCATCTTTAGGTAATGGTCTTTGTAAAGATGAGTGATTCAGAGGTGGAAGGAAAGACAAATGATCAAACATGGATTTAGAAATTTCCTCCAGTGGACACAAATAGGAGGAAAGAAATTAGCCATTCCAGGAAAAGCCTGAAGTCAAACTCCAATAGAAAACAGAGCATGCGCATACATGCACCCGCCCGCCCACCCATACACAAGTATTGGCAGAAGACAGAAGATGACTGCTGGCAAAGCTATTGTCTGTCTATCCTGCCGGGCTCCAGGCTGAGATTCAGGGGCCAGGCAAAGGCTGTGAGAGGCAGCATAGCACCATGCCTCCGCCAAAAAACCTGCAGCCCCCTGGCTTACTGTCCCCGGGCAGGTATTTTCTTGTTGGGCAAAAGGGAGAAATGTCTACTTAGACTAGACAACTAAGAAGACAAGCTGTGCGTGGGAAGGATGTGCCTGGCCATGCCACCATGGAGCTCTGCCACCACTGGCTCCATGAGCACTGACAGGCAGCCCCAGCTGTTTCCTACCACCTACCAGGAGGAAACTCCCCACGATTTACATGCTGATAAAATGGCAGGATGATATTTTAAAACCCTCCCTGTTTTGGCAACAGCTCCAGATACTGTGAGCAATTTCAGCGTCCAAGCCAGACTGATGGGCCTTTTGATGGCTTCAGAGGGTGGCCTCAGTGAGAAAGGGACTCGTAGGACTGTAAACATGGGCTGTAAATGCCTTCGATTGCTTTGAAATGGTAAATTTCCAGGCAATGTGGATCTGATGTTATATGCCTCCTGCATTAACAGCTTTTTCTTCCCATTCAATTATTTTGACTGGTAAGGGAGTAGAAATTACACTTCAAAATATATTGATGGGTATTTTCAGCCTTGCTGAGAGCTTCAAAATATATACCAATCCTGGGAACGTTGCTTTAATTTCCACTTCCCAGTTCCACGAGGAAAACAGAGATATCAATTATAAGCACCATTAGACTGAGGGAAATGTAGGGCCAGGACTAAGGACCTCTCTCCAATTCTCTTTGGTCTTGTCACCTGACCTTTTTGATATTGAGCCAAATTTTATTCAAACCCTAGGTCAAGGGGTCCATCTTGATTCATACCGGATGATGAGGTTTCTGATAAAGCAATGAATATTCCCCAAGAGCCTGAGTCCAGGGACTTGAATTAAGGCATTTGACAGAGGCAGAAAAAAAAAAATGTCAGTTTTCTTTCCATCACCACACGAGGCATCCAGAAGCCCTCATCTCCGACAACATGGCTTTTCTGTTGTGCCTGGGTGCTGGGTACATAGGCAGCCACCCAGCAACATATTAGCCCCCGTTGTGTTTCTGGCTTTCTCATCTCTACGTGACTGGCACTATCCGTTCTCCCTGAGCTCCAGATCTGGGTTTACAGATGCCTTCCTGGACTGACCACAGAGAGCTCAGGTTCACTGAACACACCTCCCCAAATTGGCTCCTCCTCCTGTATTCCCCATTTCAGTTAATGGTTACATTACACCAAAGCACTGGTCTCCTAAGCAAGAAACTTACATGCTGTTTTCAAATCCTTTCTCTCACATCCACCTCCAACTTACCACCAAATTCTACCCTCTTTCTTTCCTGCTTCAGTGTTACTGCCTTAATCTGTGTTCTGTGGAGCTCTGTTATATCATCTTGTGATTTTTTTTTTCTTTTGAGGCAGGGTCCTGCTCTGTCACCCAGGCTGGAGTGGAATGCCATGGTCATAGCTCACTGCAACCTCAAACTCCTAGGCTCAAGCTATCCTCTCCACTCAGCCTTGTGAGGAGCTAAGACTACAGGCAAGCACACTGAGGCCCAGATAATTTTTAAATTTTTAGCGGAGACGAGGGATCACTATGTCACCCAGGCTCGTCTCAAACTCCTGGCCTCAAGCAATCCTACTGCCTTGGCCTCCCAAAGTGCTGGGATTATAGGGATGAGCCTTTACACCTGGACTCATCTTGTTATTATCTATGTGTATTTCCCCATTGTCAATTACTGGACTCTTCAGAGGCTACAACCAGATTCTATTAATTTTTGTATCCCCAGTACCTAGAAGTGCCTGGCATGGTAGGTGTTCAAGAAGGAAAGGTAAGAAAGAGACTGGAAATGCCACCCCAATGGGCAATCAGGCACTGGCTTTACAGTCTGAGTGGGCTATTTGGCATTTTCATGGGACAGAATGGGGAGTAGCAGCAGCTGCCACCCTCAATATTCATTCATTTACTCTGCCTAGATATTTAGTGAGTGCTGCCAAGATGCCCAACACTGCTAAAAACTCATGATACACAAAAGGAGGCTGCCAGGCTCGGCTCAGAGGAGCTCCCATCCAAGGGAAAAACAGGCATGTGGTAAGCACTAACCTGGCATCTTGGGCCATCTAGTCTGGTCTGAGGAACTTGGTCACTCTGCTCTGCAGAGGCTACAGAGAAGGAGAAGGGACTCAATGAGAAGGTAGTGGAGATGGGAATGTCAGAGAGCCCATGGAAAGGGCTCTGCCTCTGGGACCAGTTCTGCTGAGGAGTGGTTTTATTTATGTATTTCTCCTTTGTACAAATTCCTTGCTTGTTAATGAAAACCATTTGACACATTTCTAATTAGCCTGCAGCCTCTGCAATCCTATTATTCCCTAATGCAACACCTGGGTTATTTCACGATCCCTATTAACGTTTATGATTCTTGCAGTTGTCCACCAGAATTGGAGTCATTCCTTCTGCTACTTCTGGTGGGACCACAGAGGACTTTCTCTCCCCCTCATCCTGGGGCAGGAGGGTTCGGCCCTGGCTCCATGACTGCAGAAGGAAGCACTGACGGGGACTCACTGCACTGGCCCGCCCTGACCCTAGACAAGTCACCCCCTTTGTCTGTGCTCTAGCCCTGTACCCATTTATCAAGTGCTTGGCTGAAAAGAGAAGTGCATGTTTCATGGAGTACCCTGTCTTTTTTCCTCCCTCCCTCTTTCTCTCCTTTCCTTCCATCAACAAATACCTATGGAATCGTATTCCAAGGGGTTTAAACAAACAAACAAAAAACCAAATACTACACACTAACAAGCATGTACTATTTGCCACTACTATAAGCACCGGGGAAACAGTGGTAAACAAAATATACAAGAACCTCAATGGCAGAAACTAATAAGTAATAAACCAGGGTTATCAGACAAATGGGGGTGGAGGATTGACAATAAGAAAACTGCCAAGTTCCTTTCAAAGAGCTAAGTCCTTTCCTTCATCTATAATGGTTTATAGAAACTCACCTTATAAATATCTTTTCCTTAGAGACAATTGGAGCATTGAGTGTTCTCAGCTGGCAGTGGGCAGCGCATGCTCCACTTGATGCTGGCACCTCCGCGGGCATCAGTCTCCTCCCCTGTGGAAGAGGGATGATTGCGTCTTCCTCACAGGGTCGTTGTGAGTATTCTGAGATCGTGTATCAGCACATTGCCTGTTGCATGGTAACATACATTCTTTCCACCATCCTTGCCTTCTCTCCTGCTTAGAGCAGACACAGCCTGGTAAGAGTGTCTAATCAGGTCCCCTCCTTACCTTCTGGGCCCTGCTGCTACAGACAGAGCAAGAGCTTCTGAGCTGGTCCAGCATCTTAAACAAAGGTAATGAATGGGAGGCTGGGGCCCTGCTCTGTACCTCTCCCCTGCCTTGCCTCCAGCTGCTCAGCAGAGGCTCTGGAAGAGGCAGCCACCCACCCACAGACGGGACAGTCTATGACTGCTGGACATTAGCCATGCCAGAGAGGCTTTCTTCAGATCTGTTCTTGGCAGCAATAGTCAGCAATCCCTTTCAGGAGGCCCCTTTCACCTCCAGCAGCCAGCAACAGCCTACAGGAGAGAGCCCCCCACCGTCCGGGGTACTGGGGTGCTTACTAGGCACTGAATTTTACAACACTGTATTTCATCCTGTCTTTCCCAACAAGGCTGTGAAGTAAGGGCTATCAGTGCCCCATTTTGCAGTTGAGGAAACTGAGGTTAAGAGTTTGCCCGAGCCACTTTCTTAATTTGTGACAGGGTCAGCATTCAAGTTCAGGTTGTCCGTCTCCAGAGCCAGGGCCTTACACTGAGCTGTACTCTTTCCCCCTCGGTTATCCACGCCTCCGCAACCCCCACACCAAAGGCACAGGAGGCAGAGCAGCACTCCCTGGTGGATCTGGGGGTCCCAGGGGCATGTGGCACTTTTCCTAGCTTACCCTGAGTGCTGGCTTTAACAGCTTTAAAACAATGTGAACTGTGCCTAAGAGAAATGCTGAAAGGAAGGAAATGCAAGTTCAAAGTGGCACAGTTGATGGGACCCCCCCAGGACATCTTGTATCCCTCCTTTTATAGAGGAGAAAATGGAGAACTGAGGGCAGGGGAAGTGAGGCTCCTGCATACAGAAATTTTGACCACATTGCAGATTTCCCAGTGGCCTCCGAAGCCCTGCACTGGTACCCAGACACAAGCGTTGAAAATGGCACAGGACTTAAACTGAGCTTCACCGCTTACTTGCTGTAGGATTCCAGGCAAGTTGAGTGGCCTCTGAGCTTCAGCATTGTCATCTGCAGTTGGGGATACGATCATCCTTAGCTCAGGATTGTAGGGGCTTTAGAGGCAGTATATGCGAAGTGGTGGCATGGTGGCTGGCACGTGTAGGTACTGAGTAAACTGTAGCTATTATGATGACTTGTTTTCAAAGTTCAGCATATGTGAAGAAACAGTGACTCCCTTAGATGTTGCTGTGATTCTGTGGTGCTGCTGGAGTCCATTCCTAGCACTAGAGGGGAAACAACACTCATGGTCATTTCTGAGCATTGAAACCTATCCCAGGGAAGGCCAGTTCTGTAGCCACTTCAGGTATTAGAATCTGAAACAAAGACCACAGACTGCAGCCATGGTGGTGACTCCTGGTCTCTGGCTCTGCCAGAGTGCCTGTGGCTTCAGGCACGTTACCCCACCTCTGTCTATATGGAATTCCTGTCAGCCAAATGAGCATGGTCATTACCCCCACCCCATCTCCATCATCCCCCAGGAAGGTGCCCATCTAAGGAAGAGCTGTGGTGAAGTCAACTAGAGAGGCTACACTCCACTTCTGTGCAGTCTTTCCTGTGGTGGAGGCCAAGAAAGCCTTCTCTTGGGAACAGAACTACTAAGGAGTGACCATTTGGGGCAGATAGATAGCATCCTCACCACTGAGCCCTGGGCAGGAACTGGTGAGACGTTAGAAACGCTGCCACATTCCAGCCCATCCCACCCTCCCTCCTTCCCCCCATGGAGCCTTCCTTTTGGAGTTACCAGAAGCCCCATCAGCCTGGGTTCAGTCAGCATGGTCCAGCTTCATCCCTGTGAGGAGGGGTGAGTTTGGAGCCTTTCACCAGGAGGCGATGTGATGTCTCCAGATCCCACAACCAAAGGCAACTAGATATCCACAGACCAGGCTGGGATGAGGGGAGCAGCCTATGACAACAGGGCTACTCCCCAAGTCTTTCACCGGGCTCACCTGAGAGATGCGTGAAAATGGGGGCATCAGGAGGGGAGTTTCCTTACATTTTCTTGGTTGACCTGAGAGGTCTGTGGAGCCTGATTCCTAAGGAGCGAGGTCTTTCCTGGCCTCCCACAGATGGCATGACCACTGGATCTGCCCCATGATTCCTGTGGAAACAAACGGTGGCTTCACAGTGGTTTTCTCCAACTATGCAAACAAGCCCTGGCTCCTAGTGCATTAATCTCCCCAGGCAAGAGAGACCTGAGAGAGCGTCTGGCATCTCCACGCCCCTGCCCCTGCCACACCTTGCTCCTGAAACTCTCTGCTATTTGGGTAGACCCTTTGTGAGGCCCTCTTTTGTGCATTCTCTTCTTTCGAGGTCCCATTCCTGCTTGGGTCACTTTTGAACTAGTCTAAGTGTCCTCATGATAGGCTTCTGAGTGAGGGTATCAAAGTTACAGTGATGACCCTGGGTTTTCTGCAGCAAAAACCCAACTAGGGGTTTCTTCACTTCAACAGAAATGTATTGATTATGCGTGCGCTTCAGTCTCGAGTGCTGGAGAAATGGTGAAACACCAACTGATTTTACTTCTGTCTCTCAGGGTGGTGCTCATGGGACGCTTGTGGGGGGCATGATGCTGTGACCTCAGTTTGCCTGATTTCCCAGGTGGCTTCATTTGGAGGCTGGACCCTATGTGGGTGTTTGGAGGAGCCATGGTGTCCAGCAGTGCCAGCAGGAAGCAGACTCCTCACCAGCTCTTTCTGTGGCATTCAGGGACCTACTGAGTCCAGACTCACCCAGGCTGGCCAACCTCAACTCCCATCAAATCCTAGGCCCCCTGCAATGCCAGGAAGCTCTCTCCCTTGACCACATCAAGCACTTCCATCCCCTGAATCTTTGCAAGGCCTATTCCTGCAGTCCCTCCCCTCCCCTCACCTCCCCCTTCCTTGTTTTTTAAGTGATTCGTCCACCCTCTATGAGAGCTTTCCCAAAGACCACCTTACAATAAATTATTTCTTCCTCTGTTGGATCCCTACTTTGTTGTTACACATCTATTCATTGAGCGCTCTGTGCCCTACCCTGTGCTGGTCTCCTAAAAACTCATCTAAGCCACTTGCCTTCCACCTGGAGTGAGGGTAGTTCGTGCCTGATTCTCAGTGCCTCCAGGGCTGGGGCAGAATCTCAATGTCTGTGTCCTCTCACCACTGCGTTTTGCACTTCGTCAAAAGGTGTCAGATGGAGAGATGGCTTGTAGACTGGGCTCTGCCCACTAATTAGCTGTGTGGCCTCGGGAGAATCATCCGGGCTCTCTGGCTTCCCTTCTTTCCGATGAAATAATGCTGACGATGATATTGTCCAGGGGTCAATGAGGCGGGATGCAAGGAAGCATCGTGACATCTGGGAGCCCCAGGCCAGTGAAAAATGTGGAATGGCTGTACCCCCACTCTCCTAGCACTGGGTGTGAGGCAGCATCGTTTTCCCTTCGCTCTCTTCGAATGTCAAGTGCACCAGCTTCCAATCCCTCCTCTGGGCGGGCCTTGTCTGGGCTAATCTCGGCTGCAGATTCCAGTACAAACTCAGGACTCCCCCCAACCCAGCCGCCCCTACCCAAGGACTCGCCAAACACACCTTGAATCCCGCGCCAGAGCGCAGCCCGGAACTGCAGCTCCGCGGTGCGGGCCCAGATCGGGGGTCGCGCGTCTCCAGCCGGTGACTCAGGGCCGCTCGGTCCAGGAGTGGGTGTGGGTAGGCGGGACCGACCAGGGCCGCGCGGGGGCAGCTGCCGGGCGTTCGGTCACCTAGCGGTGGGAGCCGAGGCTGGCTCTGGCGAGTCGCCATTCTGCCGCCGGCGTCTGTCTCGCCAGGTTCCCGGGCGCGGGAGGAAGGCCCGCGCCGCTTCCCACCCGGCGCGCTTCTCTTCCAGTGCGCAGTGGCCGGGTGGGTCGGCCGGAGATGACTGGAGCGCGGGGCTGGCCCTGCGCGCGAATGAATGGGCGCCTTGGGGACGCGCGCGCTCGGGGCTGAAGGGCATTAGGACCGTGAGGATCGCTCTGCGCTCCGTCTCTCCCTAACAGCCGCCCCCCCCCGCCCCAATCTCTCTCCTTTTTCTGCTCTGCAGGACTGAGCAGCTAGGCGCGAGCGAAAACAAACAGCTGGGGCTGCGAGCGCCCCCGCCCCGGCCCCGAGATCACGCCGGCCCCGGCCCCCATCCCGGGCGCCCGTCTGTCCACCATGAGGAAGATCCGCGCCAATGCCATCGCCATCCTGACCGTAGCCTGGATCCTGGGCACTTTCTACTACTTATGGCAGGACAACCGAGCCCACGCAGCATCCTCCAGCGGCCGGGGGGCGCAGAGGGCCGGCGGGAGGCCGGAGCAGCTCCGCGAGGACCGCACCATCCCGCTCATTGTGAGTATGCCCCGAGCGCAGGGCTGCGGGCTAGGGAGCAGCTGCGCGCGTCCAGCCCCTGCGCGGCGGCCGAGGGCGCGGGGCCCGGCCAGGGGCTGAGTACCCGCTGCGCTGGTCGGGCTTTGTATATGTTGGAGCATTCCTGCCCGTTGTTATGGCAACCTCTGCCTGGCGGCAAGGCCGGGGCGCACCGACTAAGGGAGGGTGACAGCGGGTGGGGGCTGGGAGAAAGTGCTGCAAGTTTGGTGGGCCCGGCGTGCGCGCGCGGCTGGGAACGTGGCGGCTCTCCACGCTCTGCGCTGCCCGGTCCGGGGTCCGGGGGGCTGCAGGAGCCTTGTGTGCCCCGGAAGGCTGTCGGACCCAGCGCGGGACCAGCGGGCGGTGGCAGCCACTCGCAGCTGAGCGTGTAGGTGGCAGTGCGCAGCCCCTCTTCCTTCTGGGGGCAAAGGACATCGGGTGGGGGGCGTGGGTAGGGAAGGCTCTTTAGGCGCTGCGCCTGGCTTCGCGCCCCCTTCTGAGCCCGGGTCAACTTGAACCTGCTTCTTCGGCGAGGACATCCAACTCCCCCAGAATTCTCTGGGTTGGGGAGAGGTCTCGTCCTGTACCAGTCTCTCACTCCCAACATTAGGGTCCGCTACCACGGGTAGGCGGGCGGTGTCGGTGCCCGGGCTTGGCGATATCCTTACGTGAAGTCAGCCTCGCGACATCTAAACGGGCGGAGAAACAAAGGCAGTGTGGCACAGCGGGGGCGGCGGCGGGGCTGCGGGGGCCCTTGACACTCTGGGGACCCGGGCGGGGGTGTGCGGAGCCGCAGCCGCCCTGCAGGGGGCGATCCTGCTGCCGTCTCTGTCCGAGTCCCAGGTGACTGAGCTGTGTGTGGCCAGGCAGGAGCACCTGTTGAGGCGGGAGGCTTTGGCACCTGCCGAGAGCGCGCTCGGGCAGGCGCGTTCTTCCAGACTGGGCGGTTGGTGGTCCGGAGCCTCGGGCGACCCTCGGGACCTACCAGGGCGGGGCAGCCTGGTCAGATGAGGACTAGGAAGAGGAGAGCCGAGTGGGACGGGGGGAGGGAATGAGGGAGCGTGGCGATTCCGACAAGGAAAGATCTGGGCTTGGGGGAGAAGGGGTGAGGAGCTCCTCGGGGAGGTGCAAGGTCCGGAGGGCTGAGGCTTGTCCGTGGAAACGAATCTGAGGAAAGCGTCCAGAGGCAGAGCTGAATCCGGGAATATCGAGAAGTTCACTGGAGAGCGTCCCCTCATATTCCCATCCCGCCCCACATTCCGAGTCCCCTGTAAAGGAGCCATTATTTCAGGTTTTGCCTGAGGAGACTGGCGGGGTGGGGTTGTGGGTCCTAGATCCCGGTCTGGGCGAACTCTGAGGGCAAGCCTGATTAGGTGCAGTGTTCCCTTCTGGGCAGTTCTCCCAGGACAGTTTCCAAAGCACTTGTCGCCGTTTGGACAGAAAGCTGATGAGGAAAAGCCTCCTGTGCTGAGACCCCAGAGTGTTATGATCTGAGCAGAGGGACAGGTTGGAGCTGGAGCTGTCCAAACCAGCAGTGGTCTCCAGACCCCAGGGAGCTTCCTCCCCAGGAGCCCAAGCTGCCAATTCATACTCTTTAGAGGAACAGCCCTGGTCTCAGGCAAGGCAGGCTGGCCAGATGCTCTGTCCCTCTTTCCAGTGAAACGATGGGAGGAGGGAGTTGGAAGGGGAGGAGAAAGAGGCCGGGCAGGGAGGAGAGGAGGGAAGAGAGCTGAGGGGACTGCTGCTTTGGAACCCGGAACCTGAACCCTGAACCTGGAACCCGGAACCTGGCCCATGCACCTCTCTGCTGCTCCTTCCAGAGTCCTGCAAATCCACTGGGAGGGCCGCTCACATTTCTCAAGAGTCTCAGAATGGTGTAGGGGACCGCGCTGGAAGGATTCAGCACTCATTTTGAGGGGTGGGAATCGGAGGTCATGAGAGTCACCAGTAAACGTCCTCTTGTCCCTGCTTATTCCCACAGGGTTTGGCTTGCTGCAGGTAAGAAAAGGGCTCATAGCGGCAAGCTAAGCTTAAAGTATGAAGGAGTATCAGGGAGATACCTGGAAGCTGGGAAGTGAAGGTGCAGGAGAAAGGGAGGACGGAAGTCCCCCGGAGTGGGAGAGCCTTCTGTGGCCACTTAGGGGCACAGCCAGCTCCCTCTTTGTTCTTAAGCTTTAGCCCTCATGCCTGTTCCACCAGCACTGGCCCCCAGTCACGCACCACCTTTGACACTGCCTTGCATTGTATCATTGTAGTTCTCTCTTCCAATTACTTCACTTCCATGTGATTTGCAGCTGAATGTAAGTGATGCATACAGGAACTATGCTGGAAGCTCCTTGCAGCCCCACACTGATGCACACAGCAAGACTTTTTGTTTTTTTGAGATGGAGTCTCACTCTGTCTCCCATGCTGGAGTAAGGTGGCCTGATCTTGGCTCACTGCAACCTCCACCTGCCTGGTTCAAGTGATTCTCGTGCCTCAGGCTCTCGAACAGCTGGGACTACAGGCATTCATCATCACTCCCAGCTAATTTTTGTTATCTTTAGTAGAGACAGGGTTCCACTGTTGCCCAGGCTGGTTTCCAACTCCTGAATTCATGTGATCTGCCCACCTTGGCCTCCCAAAGTGCACAGAGACTTCTTAAAGGAGTGAAATAAGATTCTCACTCATTTCTGGGAGCAGTCAATGCTGCACATCCCTTTAATATTATGATATTATATTCATATCACCTTAATATTTTATTCCCAGTTGTAACCTGGCTCTAAGTAAGGAGGTAGGGGGATACATGTTCAAGCAGACATTAAACCCTTTGTTCAACTTAAAAGGGGCAGGTGCAGCTGGGGATTTACTTTTGCCCTGCAATTTGTGGTAACCACTTATTCAGAAACATTTTTCTGCCTAGCTGGGCCAGGACACTGCACGTGGATTTTCAGATTCCTAGAGAATGATGTGGCTAGCCCTGCTGTCTGAGGCTGGCAAATTCAGATAGGCGTCATCATCACTCCCCTGGGGAATCAGAGAGCTGAACTGGGAAAGGGAGGGTCTGCAGAAGTGCCTGGACCTGGAGGCAGCTCTGCTTTCACAATGACTGGGCTATCTGAAGCCAGCCAAGTTGCTTCTGGACCTTGGAGATGCTTGTTTGGCATTATAGGGTGTCGGCATGGCAACCGTGTGGCCAGATTTCTCGAGGAGGTCCTGATTTTTAATATTCTGTCCTGCTGTCAGCCCATGTGTCACCAATTTTGATGCAAACAA